TTTAGTAATGATTCCCAGTGTACTGAGGTCAATTAATTGACTCTTTTTATGCTCTTTTTAGAACAAAAAAAAATGGTGTTTGACACAATATGGTAATGCTCTAGTAATGCTCTGATGTAACATGTTTGTTTGTGTAGAAGGAGCTCAAAATAAGGTGAAGGAAGGATCATTTGTGCCTCGTGGAGACAATGATGTGCTCTCAGTTGCTCTTCAGAAAAAACCAAATGGCAGTAGAGTACAGGGTTTGGGGCACTTCATTACCCCAACACGATACTTTCACACGCCAAGGCAATCAAAACCGAGGACAAAGTACAAGAAGTATGTGATAGAAGGTATGCAATGATGTTGCAGAAGTTTAGTGAAATGAAAGATCATGTGTCCCATGCTTTTAGTGAAATTGGTAGTTGTAGCGATGCCAATAAATCTCAGAAAAGAAAGGTACACACATAACTTTAGTATATTATTTTGCACCTTATTTACACTTTTATTATTAATACGTATTTATCATTTCAAGGCTGGTGGAGAGTTTGAGCAGTCGATAGTTAGTCCTTTGAAGGAACGCTGCAGTGCTCCTAGAAGATCTCCCAGGTTCAAGTCAAAACATGCTGAAATGGAGGGTAATAATGAACAACCCGAGGGTGAGAGTCGTGGAATGCAGAAGGTATGTACACCTACATCTCTAAGTGAATGTTTAATGAGCTATAGTTATTAATAAATAGTTAACTTCTATGATATAGACTGTTGGAGAGGTGGAAAAACCAGTATTTACTCATCGGAAGAAGCTATTTGGAAGCGTTCCCAGAAATTCCCCTCAGCACATAAACAAGGATACTTTAGGACAAGCCAATGCTCACTCCCATGATATGGTTAGACGTCCAGTTGCATATGTTTGTTTGATTAAATGGTGATGCTATCTATCTGTTTCACATGTCATGCGCAAATAGGGTAATAGTCATTCCATATACCTACTTGCAAGTCTCAAGTTGCATAAAAATCATGGCTCAACCAACCAAGGGAATGTGGTCCAAAAGATAAAAAATAATAAAATCCCTTTGGAGAGGCCAATCCATGAAGCATACTCCTATTGAATTATTGCAATTTGTTTTAAAGAAGTGAGTTAAAGAAGTGAATTATTGCAATCCATTCAATACTTGACTGTATTATTTTTTTACTATAACTTGTTCTTTGTTTTTAGTAAATCTTAGTTTGTATTTATTGTCTATTTAAATTGAATATATGCAGTGCCCTAAGCAAACAGGAGGAGTTGCGTGTGGTTACTTTGTGATGAAGTACATGAAGGATATTGTATCAGACGTGAATCTTTTGAAACAGAATGTGAGCGCAATTAATTAATTAGTGTATCTTGTAATCATAGTAAGTGCTAATTAATTTAATTTTACATTGAAGTTCTCTACCGTCAAGGAGTATACTGAAGATGATATTTTACACGTGCGTGAGGAGTGGGCTTTGTATGCTGCTACTTTGATAAAAAAGTAAGTTCACATTTAAAATTTACCGAAAATAGGTTTCATAATATATGGATGTAATATTATATTTTGTTGATATGTAGTGTGCAAGCGGATCCTACAAAGGCTTGATGATATGCAAGGGGAGATGCATTTTAGATTATGTTATGTATGTAGAATTTGGGAATGTGACTTGTTTGTATTTTAGCATCTTCAATGATGCTTGGTAGTAGTTATTTTGCTGAATTCAATAGCCGGTTTTTTGCGGGAATATTGTTGGAATTTTGCTACATCTTTTATCCGGCGGTAGGAAATGTAATTGAACAAGAATGTGAAAGTGTTACTTAATATTATATGTTAAATGATGTGTTTCGGGTATTCATTAATTTTTGGATGTTATAATATTTATGAATGAAGTAAACAGTAAAATCTAGGCCTAATAGGCCCAATAAACAAAACCAGCCAAGTGACTTTGAAGTGTCATAAAAATCTATGATGCTGAAAGTGTCATAAAAATCTATGATGCTAAAAGTGTCATAAAAATCTATGATGCTAAAGTGTCACAAAAATCTAAGATGCTAAAGTGTCATTAAATTTTGCGATGTATTAATGTCACAATTTGTTCTTGATGCATAAATGTCGCTATTTCAGACGACAAATTAGTGTCATTATTTGCTGACACAAAACTGTCCCCTCGTCAGTGACACTATATTTAGTGTCGCTAGCCGCCACTTTCCCCGACGCTTTTTTAGTGTCGCTGAAACTTTCAGCGACACTAAATTAGTGTCACTGTAGGCTCTTTTTCTAGTAGTGACCACACGCCGGTCGCCAGCCACAGTGGCCGATCTAGCTTTAACATTCAGTAGGGGCCATTTTTTTAATGAAGGGTCAAAATTTAATTAAATAACGTATATTGTCAAAAAAATAAAAAGTGAAAATGTAGTAAAATAATACTCCGTACTACATTTGTATTATTATTTTTGAGTATAAATTGATATTTGTTGCAACATAAATGTCGAAGACAGAAATAAATATTACAAGAACAAATTTTTGTCAAAGTCAATTTAGAATTGGGTTTTTTACCAGATTATAACTAAAATAATAGTTATTTACATTAATATGACTATTCATTACTACAACGTAATGTTGTGGTAACTTAGGTTCAAAACGTGAACATGAATTACTATGATTTCATTACTACTCTAATAATTAGTCATATTTTTGCAAATCATCTTTATTTTGGTCATATTTATGTAATTATTTCTTTAGAATTATATAAAGGCATAGAGCTGAAAACCTAAAAGCTAAAAAAATGAATATATAAACAACAAAGTTATTAAAGGCTTAAGATAATAAAGCCATAATAGCCCTCTCTGAAATGGTTTATAATACTAATTTATAGAAACGCATAAGTTTTGAAACTGAAAAAAAATATGAAATAATACACAAGACGTCTACCACGCACACACTAGTCACCTTCCATCGAGCCAACGCGGTATTGTTTTTACAATTCGGTTTTTAATATTATTATAGATTTCCAAATAACTATATATAAATAATACATATATATACTACTATTTTTTTTAGTGTGGACCTAGGCCCTCCCTGGACCTAAGGCAGATCCGCCCCTGCGGCCACTCTCCGATTCTCTGGATTTTGACCCTTGAGCTCGTTCAATCGTCCGCTCGCAGATTTTTTAAATTACGTATTGATGTTTAATTAAAAATTACATTTAGAATTGAATATACATACATAATACTAATACAATGATTTTCAAAATTAGAGGCCCCTAAAATTTCGAGGCCCTAGACAATTGTCTAGGCCACCTGCCCATATGGCCGGTCCTGGGTGATGACTCTCGCCGGCGACTGATCCGGCCCCAACTTGTAGCAGACCGACATGAAACGCAGCAGGGATCAACGAATGATAAGTAAATTTAAGCTATGGATAAATCCAGTCACCAATTTGATGTCGTTCCCGACGATGTGAATGGATGCTGCGTAAGCTGGCAGCAACATGTCCAGGGAGCGTCGTTCGTAAGCTAAGGGTGATTTTGTCCTTCCCTTAAAAATTAGTCCTATTTGATGTTTAAAAAGCTTCGGGTCCTATTTACATTCATAGACATTGTTTTAATCTTATTGAAGTCTGTTGGGTGTGTTTCGGAAAATAAAAAAATTAATTAATTAAAATGACTAAAGAAAAACAAGAAATAAGATGGAGCAGAATTTAGTCAAAGCTCGTGCTACGTACGATGTCCTTAAAACGTATTTGTTGCCTCCAACGGTGCTAGGAGCGTTGCAACAATAGTTTCCCAGGATACGATGACTACGAACTAAGGTTTGAGCACTCAAACAAAAGTTCCAGCGAACGAGAACACAGTATGAACACAGAATGAATTTTTCAGAATGCTGGCAGTGTGTTTTTAGAGGTGCAAAAGGCGCTTGGAGTGTATGAATTCGTGTAAAATCATGTGTTGTTGCAAACCACCTGCCAACCTTTATATAGGATGATTTGTTGTGTGTAAATGGTGAATTAATGGACCTGAACGTTGGACATCAATGACCAGTCCGTTGGGCATTGAATCGTCCATGATTTGTCCATTTAACGCTGCATTAAAAGATAAGAACGTTGGGCATTTATTGCTATAACGGTTCAGAACGCGACCAGAAGACCTCGTAAGGTGTTCTGTCCGAAGCTAGCAGAACCCCTACGAGGGCTTCTGCCCGGAGCCACCAGAACACAATAACGAGAAGAAAACAAAAATTAATCGTATCTCTTGAGAGATAAATTTTTGGACGACATTCGTATCCAAACGGTCGCCCGCGCACGCAAGTCGCGGTTTTTCTTCTCCGATTTTGGGATTTGATTTGATTTGATTTTACCCTTAGGAATCTTAACTCCATAAGGGGGGAGTCCCTTTATAAAGGGTTGCAAATTCCTTGGGTTTTCCGGTGTGGGAAATTAACACACTAGAAACTCATCCTTTTTCTCTTCTAACGGGTAAACTTCGAAAAACAATTTCTCATTCACCCGTTATCCGTTTTGAGCGTACCATATATCGAATTGTAGCCCTAAGCAAGGACAATCCGAAACCACTTTGATCCGACCCAAATCGGAAGTGGACCCCACTCAAAAAATTGCCCCAAAACAGCCATTTAATGCAATTTTTCACACATTTTTCCAACAAAGTCTTTTTCCCAAAAAGATAAGCGATGGGTCGTAACTCGTAACGTGTTATGTTAGACTGTTAGTTTAGAACAAAAGAAGGTTAAAATTTACTTAATTATGATTAAATGAGGTGATCAATTTAATATGACTAAAAGAAGCTAGCGATAAATGATTCCTAAAATATGATGAATTGTTTTTTATTTGTGAATAATCGGGTTTTGCATATACTTATGTGCTTTGATGCCAACTTGAATTAATCATTTTAGGTTTATAAATCATATATATACCGAGAATGTACGAATGTTTTGGTTAATAAATTTCACCATTCCATAACCATAATACAGAATAATAATTGTCTAAACTCACCATGGATGTTTTGCTGTGACTTCTCGAAGCTCCTTCATGGATTCTGGTTCTCTTGGATACACGCTAGTTTCAAGAATATACTGCATTGTGCAATAAAATATATTTGGATTAATTAATACATATTTATCACTAAATAAAATATGTTTAGAAAATTGTGACATTTTAATTGTAGTGATTATGTAAAGACTATGTAATTGTGACATTTAAATTATAGTCGTAGTAAATTATGTTCAATTCTAATAAGTAATTGAGCATAGTATCATATCATAGTAACTCGATCTTAGTCATATTTTTAAAAATAAATTTATTTAGTACTATGTAGTATTTAAAAAAATCGTAAGGAATTGTTTATATGTAAGTTTTTGTTTATTTAATTGACTTGTTTACTATAGAAACTGTTATATTTACGTCGTTGTAATTAAATTGGTAGCCATTTTTCTCTAGATCTATTTAAAACAATTTTTTCAAAATAGGACTAAAACATGAATTAATTGTTCCTAACATATGGCTTATTTACTTCTATCAAAAGAATAAAATAATAAAAAATTCTTCAAAATAAGAATGGATGAGTTTTATTTAAGGAAGAAAACAAAGAGACACTTATTTCAGAAATTTTATTTTCTTACTCGTATTTAAAGTATCTCTCTTTTATTAAGGTACGTATACCTGGTAAAGGGCATCGCTTTGCAGAAGGCTCTTGTGGCCAACTTCGTGGTGCTTGTTGGCCTGATTCTGATTGGAATCACCGCCGCTCTCCGCCATGTTTTTTAAATTTTCCGGTAAGTCACACTATTCCGCCATGTTTCTTTGAGCTTGCATAGAAACAATGATGAGGATTTATATACGCGACGGAAATCTGGTTCAGACCGGGTTCAATGATTTGGTCAGCGGACACATATTGGACCGCCAGCAGACCGGTTGGGGTAGGTGAGAAACCAAATTGTCTGAATTCCTACGTCTCACATAATCCGAGAGTAGTCAATAGTCAAATTTTGGTGACCAAACTTGGATAGGCTAAAATGGATCTGGACTTGACCTCACTAACGCCAGCGATCACCAACCTTCAAGGCCAATTCCAAACTCTAAAAGTTGGACCTTCAAATACAAAAGTGATGAAGGATTGTCTTTAGTTATACGCTAAAAATAATAATCATGTGCGGAAAGGTATCAAATTAATCCTTTTATTATATTAAAAACATCAATTAAACTATTTTCCTACTCAATTAAAATCTTAAACTTTAAAAAACGTTCAATTAAACTATTTTACAATCAAGTAAATGATTTCCCGATAAACTACACATGTGACAACCTAGCCAGCACATTTGAATTGTTGGACTGTGCATCAATTGAGAGAGAAGATGGGGAGAGAGCTCTCTGAAATCCACAACGATATTTTTCAAATGATGGTATCAATTAGTAGCCGTTGGACCTTGATGAGGACGGTAGCCCCCTTGCCCATCGCCGGTTCTGCCGCTCCTGTTACAGATGACATTCTTTGCTTTTAAGAAGAAGAAATAAAATGATGAAAAAGAAAAAGATATTAGGGGGAGGGTCGGAAGAATAAATAATAATGGGAGAGAGAATGAAAAAGAAAAGGAATATAAAATGAAGAGGAAAAAGGGTAAACATTTGTTCGGGCTTAATTGAGTGCTTTAGGTTTGAGTGTTTATGATATTTTTGATATACTTTGGATGTCTATTTAAGAGTTTTCTCTAAATATAGAGCTACAAAATGTCAATAGTTAGAGAATTTTTTACAGAAAATAATTACTTTGTCTGCGGTGATGAGAGTTCTGCGGTGACCATTAGTGGCTCAATTATGCCCAATTTAGGATCAGCGAGTTATATTGCTTTGTCAAAGGTGATTAACTCTGAGTCTGGACCAAGGGCGGATGATTGCTTGTGGTTCTTTTGTCATTTTAATCCCTCTCTGAATGCCTTGATTTTAATCTAAGCCCCCTTCTTCAAAAAAAAATATACTACTCCGTATATAAAAGTTATGTGGGATCAATGCTTTAATTATAAAGGAAGATTACTTTACGCATCGTTTATGGAGGAAGGGACGTAGCATATAGTGACGTCGTGTGGTATGGCCTTGTGGTTGCGTAAATTTTTATTTTGTTTAATTGCTTAGAGCTCGTTTGGTAAAACTGAAATCAGCTGAATCTACTGATTTTGCTTAAATTTATGAATTTTGGGTCTCTGGCTGAAGTGGTTGTGTCGGCTGATTATGTTGATTTATACTGTATTACTAAAATAAAGAAAAAATTATAAGAAAGAATAACGAAAATGATCATCTACAGTAACTTCATCTATTACAGCTAGAAAAGTAACTTCAACCATACTTTATTATTATTACACAATTCAGTGCACGAATTTAAAAGTTACGTGTTTGGTTAAAAAGTTGGCTGATGAACCTGATAAGCTGAAAAAAAGAGCCACCGACAAGCTCTTAGTAATAATGATAAACATGGAGTATTTTTTTAAGGAATAAATACGTAGTTAGTAATCATAGTTTCTTATCCCATTTACTCTAATCCCATGGAGTATTTAAATTTGACGTAATCTAACTTGTTAGTTTGATATATGTGTTATTAGAGTTTGTATTACTTTTAGTCCTTTGACTATTAAGTGAAGGATAATTTTTGTATTTCATTTTCAATTTTTTTAAATCCTTTTATGTGAAAGAAACTTTTGGTACATATCTTTAAAATTTTCCATATTTACTCATCAGTTTTTTTTATATAAAAGTTGCACTTTTGTCCTCCAACTATTATCATAGTTTCATTTGTTGTTTTCCACTGCAAAATTCTAGTCAAAGGACTAAAAATACCAATTTGACAATAATAATGGGAATTGTTTGTGAGTAAATTTTTATAGTCAAAATCAAAATTGTCTCTACCATAATAATCGAAGGTCCCAATAAAAAATAACATTATAAGACTTCAATAATAAAAAACTCAACAATGATATATGAAGTGTAGAAGTAAGGTTACAAAACGTAAATGTTAATGTTTTAAGTGATGGTGGCTTAGACTTTTGACAAAATATACTCTTCATAAAATTGTTTTCAGTTATGAGTCTTTTCTTTTTCATTGGAAATCGAAAAGTTTGATGTAAGACGTCTGCTTAGCTTATTTATGATGCAGTTTAATTTGATGTTCAAATTGTAATAATTGCTATACAAAAATCCCATGGTGCTTGGAGATCACATTTTAGTTGTTCACATGTTCTTCCGTAGGTGGTCCCACATGTCAAGTTCCTTAGGAAGAGTTTTGCCACATGTCAAAATTCATCTAAAGGATTCTTTAGGGGTTTGCTTTATAATACTCCATATTATATAGATTGTTCCCCCAAGTTCAAGTTAATTACTAAATTACCAAGAAGTTAAAAAAATACCAAGTCTAAGAGCCCGTTTGGAGACCCCTTTTTTCGGCTTATCAGGCTTATCAGCCAGCTTTTTCATCAAACACGTAATTTTTACTTTCGCGTGCTGAATTGGGTAATAAGCAGAAAAAGTAAGGTTGAAGTTACTTTTCTGGCTGTATTGGCTGAAGTTACTGTAGATGACCATTTTAGCTATTTTTACATGTAATTTTTTCTTTATTTTATTAATAAAATATATTTTTAAAATATTTTTTTTTAGAATCAGCAGAATCAGCCAAAACAGCCACTTCAGCCAGAACTTCATAAATTTCAGCAGAAACAGCCAAAACAGCCGATTTTTGTGCTACCAAACGGGCTCTAAAAGTGATTATTTTTAAGTGGAAGCTATGTTTTGCAAACACATGTTTTAGCTTTTTTAATCAAAGAAGCACAAAAGTACTTTTGAGAAGTTGTTGCAAACACAACCTAAGTCAACAATGACACCCTATAATTTATTTGGAATGTGCATTTTCAATATCGATGGGAATAGGAGTAGACCCGATTCCAGACATGGAACAGGACATGGAGGATAGATAAATGGATTGATTACATGAGTTTTCACTTCCATACCAGTCCGATCCGATTCAGCCAAAATAGGACTGGAAGTCTGGAACTAGGCGGTGTGATATCGTTGTTATATTTTCTTTACAAAATATAGACTAAAAAGCTTAAAGTTGTTTTTGAGTATGGTTCAAGTTCCTCCCTACCCATACTCGGAACCGGCTTGGCCTGCCCCTACCGGCCCAAACTATCATATTAATAAAAGTTTGAGTAAAATACTAAAAGATCAACCTAATCTTATACTCCCTCCGGTTTTATTTAATCTTCACACTTTGACTTCACACAAAATAAGGAAAGAAATTTGACTTTACTGTAGAGTACACTGTTGAGGCACTGTTTGACACTGTTTGGCACTGTAGAGACACTGTTTGGCACTGTTGAGACACTGTTTGGCACTGTTTGATACTGTTTTGATGTAGATTTCTTTGCCAAAAAAGGAAATAAGGAAGTGTGAAGTTTATTTTAGACCGTCACAAAAAGAAAAGTGTGAAGTTTATTAAAAACCGGAGGGAGTATGTCATTTTTCATTTTATATAAAAATCAACTAAATAGGTAGACTATATTTCCATTAGGGATGCTCTGGGGCCAATAATAGCACTATTTGTACTTGGATTATTGGAGCTAACATAAACAGGAAGGATCTCGTTCCAATTTACCCAGTTTCAACCCGATTTTTAACATATTAAAAAATGCAAAATGGAAACTCGTTTGGACTAGTTATTGGTACAGGTTCTGGTGCACGACCAAATGACCGGTCTAGTTTCTGGGGAAAACCAGCCAGTCTGATTTAGACATCTAGTATAGTTCTGAAACCGGGGCTTGGTGATTTTATAGTTCTGAAACCGCGGCTTGGTGATTTGGCGAAGCTCATTTTCTAGTTTGTGCTATCATTACTCTAATCAACTTCAATTTACCCTGCACATGAATTGATAAGGAACACTCATAGGCCCATAATCTAAAACGATATACACAGCTTTTCTGTATTCTATTGATATAGATTCATCTCTTCATGCAATGTCATAGTTGATAGCCGTACGAATAAATGAAAACAAAAACAAGAATCAAATGAAAAGCATACCATACTCATTATCAAGCTTGAAGAATTAATGAACAGCAAACTGATTTAGTCTAGTTCGTGTTGATTTTGAAACTCATTCGTTTTATGAAACACGACTTGAACAATTTAGCAGCTGTCTTAACGAATTACATCATTCTTTTGTAGGGAAGGTTGCAACAAGAAGAGCATCCTGCATAAAACTTTTACACTATGGTTTCTTCAGTGATCTTAGTGTTAAGTAACTTTAGACAATTATCAGTAAATTTAACGACGCCAAGTCGCCAACCACAACATAGTCAAGATTAAGGTGATGATGTGATATATACTGAGTAAGTAACTATCTGATTGAAAATTTTCTGATCTTGCCTAATTTATGTCTCAGTATAAAACTATCTATCTATTATGGTATTGGTCTAAGCTAATCTTCCTAAATCTTTTTGGTCTGGCCTGAATGTTTATAGTCTGGTCTGGTCAAACTAAAATAACAATAAGTAATGCAACACAAAAATAAGGTGAAGAAGACAGTCAGAGACAATTTAAGTGTTAATATATATCCTACCACTTCTATAAAAAAAAACTATCATATATATGTGGCTATATAATCACATTTAAATATTAATGTGCAAGCTAGGAACTATACCATTCTTGAAACTTCTACCTTCAAAACAATTGAATATATGGACGTTTATGCCCTTCTATCACACCAAGGGGAAGAAACATCATTGTAGCCTCAATTTTTGCTCACTAACTTTCATG